CCCCCCCCCGAGAGATAAGCTTATCTAAAATCCCAGATCAGAATACCTTCCAGCTTTCTGCAGATATTTAAAGCCTAAAACTGACTCATATGACCAGTACTTTTTTAATTGGATGAACAACTCTCTTTTCTAATCCCTCAAGTCATCTAGCTACCTCTGGATTAGTAGCTAGTGTTTAGAGGGCTATACATTTTAACTGCAAGTATGTGAGGCCCTGCTGTTCAGAATGCCCACAGTACACAAATGAAGTATGCATGAAAGGTTTTGCAGCTGGAAGGAAGAACAGCCTCATCCCGTGGAGGGGCAGGCGAGGTATCTGTCCTGGCTCCAGACCCATCGCACACTCTCACCAGGCAGCACCCTTTGATCACAGGGGTACACAAGCCTTGTCCGGTTTTTTGGATTCCAAAGCTGTTTCCCTCCTAAAAACTGCTTTGTGGTAAACAGAGAGCAGTGAGCTTTCTGTCTCCACCCTGCCCAGCCAAAACCACATCCTTTCTGCCACCAGCTTTCAGCGTGGAGACCACATGGATATGGAAAACAGGCACCGTGCTATCAGAAATAGCATATGAACTCTAAAACCTTCAGAAAGGGTGTCTAACTGGACAGGCATGATTTGAAAAATGAAAATAAAACTCTTCACACACATAATTTTTCAGATATGATGCCAATTTCTATGTGTAAGTACAGACTAGATTCCTGCTTCCTGAACCTGGGAAAATTACTAAGTGGCAAAACATAATTCTCACTTGGACAATTAATTTTACCTTTAACAGGATTTAGCAGTCTTTGAAAAAACTGGTCAATTGTTTCACTGAAGAGACAGACATGGTTACAAAATATTCCCTTAAAATGGAATTAATCTCCTTTAAAATATATATTTATTTTCTATACTGCTAATTATGCAGAACTCCACACAGTAAGCCCTCAAAGAAATTAATAAATTCGATTAAAGTATTCTGTGGGAATTATTTGGCATAGGAGTCTTGTGTCTCTTTAGCTTCAAAGTCTGTTTGATGGGTTCCTTTTCAAGGTAACCTGTCAATTTATAAAACCAGTATGTTGAACTTAATCTACACATATGATTACTGCAGAATTTATTATAAATGGATATGCCTATAGTAGTTTTAGATCCAGTAAAAAGATTGAGATTTCTTTATATTCCTTTGATTTAAAACCCAACTTTAAACCTGCAGGATTGGAAACAGAGATAATCACATCAAAGATCAGAAAAGTACATTTTTAGGAAGTAAAAATGGAATGGACTGTTCTGTGCATTTAAGCAATTGCAAAGTAAAAAAAAAGTCATTGACATTTAAAAGTCCATATAGAAAGTATGAATAGAAGAAAACATACTAATCTAATTAGCTTATTAATACTTATTAATTTCACTGGATGAAATATAAATCAGGGGTGTAAGTTAACAGATGTCCAAAAGTGTCTGGCCTAACAGCACAATCCAGACCTCAGTCTGATGTGCTAGCTGTGCACTGAATTACAGCAGTTATAGATCAGTATACTTTCAAGAAAGCATCTTTTTTGCTAATATGTAAACTGAGCCCAGCTTGACAGCAGGAGAGAACAAACCATCTAAAAGATACCACCCTGCAAAACTACATCTATTAGAACCAACAGCATCAGTAAGAAATTATCATTTCTGTGATATATTTTTGCAGCTCAGAGGTGCTACAGCATTTAAAAAAAAATCATTCAGACTTAATCTTGCACAAGAAATCTGTCTGGAAGCGAACGTGGGGAGAATCTGTATTTCCAAAATGCTTTGATGCCACATAACCATATCTGAAGTACACAAACATAGAAAACTGCAAGAGAAGACACTACTCATCTCCTGGTATCAAGGAAAACTTTTCTCTGGTGTTAGAAGTCAGATATACAACACTCCATCTCCTGAAAGGTGTTGGTTTTCCAATTACAACAGAGGAAATTGGAAACCAAACACTAAGGTGAACATTGCAGAGTGGACAAACTGAAACGTGATTCTTGAACAAACATAAGGCAGCATCTGCTACACTCAGCCTACCACAAAATAAGTTTTGGAGTAGAAGGAGGGGAAGAAAGAATCACTGTGAAATAATGATTTCTTTTACTCTCAAAAATCTCTTATTTTCTGCAACAATTAGCAGAAAATTAGCGTGCTTTTTCCTACCACCTTGCAAAATTGTGCAGCTGAGGCACATCCAAAACTCAGGGCTGAATCTCCACTGGTATAAATCCTCTTCTGTTTAGCAGAGCTACAACAACGTACCCCAGCCGAGATCCTCACCCAGAGGACATAAGCTCTATCTGAAAAGGTGGAACAGCCAAGGAAGAGTTAAGCACTGCCCATCTGTGCCATGACTCAGCAGGGGATCCAGGGGAAGGACATGTCCTCTGGGGAGCGCAGGGCTGTGAGAGGCAAAGAGAAAGGCCTTCAAAGACTGCAGCCTGCTTTGGTCAGGGAAATTGCTTTTTGTGTATGACTCGCCAGGCTTTTGTGTTTGATTAACAGATTATGCTCTGAGGCAGTGTCTGGAAATAGACTCGGGCATGGCATTGGGACTCTGCTGAGGGAGCACATCCATTGCTTTAGAGGCATTCAGCAGCACAGGGCAGCTCAGCATTGAGATACCCCATCTGGCTTTAAGTGAGATAGTTTGGGTACCTAAAGCAACCTAGACTTGGTTACACAGAGTTCTGTGTGAGCTGATTTATTCCCTTCCTTGGCTGCTGGAGACGAAATAAGAGGAAAGCACTTCATCAAATGCAGAACGGCTATGAAGTGCTAATATGAAAACAGCAAGTGCAGTCCTGGGAGGACTTTATTGGGAAAGGATTTCAGCAAAGTGGGAAGTATTAATGCCATTGTACACTGTGCTGGCCAGGACCATCAGAAGCACAGACTAAATTCTAATTATTCACATTCAAGGAGGACTGACTCAAACACAAGAGTGCTATTTAATGTACTCCTACCTGCTAGGTGCAGACAGACCTAAATTCAGTCTACTCATACAATGTTTAAAAGGATCAGGGATGCTGTGAGACCTATTTTAAAATGCTCTGGCTTTCATACCAGCTTACTGCAGCTTTGCTGCCAAACAGCTCAGAGCCCAGGAAATGTATATGTATCTGCCTGGACCAGCGTCTGTAGGAGGACCAAGGACACAGACGTCTGACCTTACGAAAAAGGGATATGAAGAAACAAACCTGCTTTCAGCCTCAAAAACACAGGCCAAGGAGAGACTTGATTCTGAGCTTGTTCTAGCTGTATACACATATACATCCTACCAAAAGGCCTGAAAGAAGTGCCCCAAAAGGAAAGAACAGCTAATTTTAATTAATGGAGAACACCAGCAGAAAAACAAAGATACCTTAACTGGCCACAAATAAAGTCTGGAAATCGAGAAAGATTTCTGACTAAGAGCAGAGAGAATTCGAAGGGATAAACATACAGGTTTGAGGGTTTTTTAAGAAGAAATTTGATAATTCTCTTGAAAGGGTTCCTATATGCTACTTGTGATAGGAGGTGACTAGATTTACTAAGGAGTGCCAGTTTTTTGTCAGATAAAGTATCACCACTTCAGTGATTCAGCTTGGAACACATCCTCAAATATTTGCAATTTATGCAGGGGACACACTATAAAAAAAGAGGGTTCCTGCCAAGCAGTAACCAATTCTGCCAGGATGACCTAAATCTGTTGCCAAGTCAGATTTACCCTTCAAATTCAAACATGAGAGCTGCATCTGTAACTTACTCTGCTTGCACTTCCTCTGCTGCTGAGCCCGAAAGGGAAAGTCAGATCACTCTGGAAAGCAATCCATTCTCCTGCATGAAAGGCAGCTTAATTTTAGCATCTGTAAAATCAAAATGCTAAAGAATTGGCTAATAATTCTGCCTTGTGTCTGAGGGGGTAAGTGATGAAATTGAAGTGTTTACACAATCTTGGTAAGTGCCCAAAGTTTTGTGCTCAGAATAGGAAACATTCAGAATAGGAAGTACATAAAGAGCAAACAAATAAGCAAATGGGCATAATGGCTGTTTCTCACACATCTAAATTCCTGAAAGAATTCATTTTCCAGGTAGATATCAGAGACAGAGACTAGATTTATTAAAGCTAGAAGAGCCTAAGCTTTTTTTTTTGCCTTTTGTTTTGTAATACAACAGTCCTGTATTTATACTACTTCAAGTTTACATTTATAATTCTAAGAGCAACTTTATAATCTCATACAAGCCTGTGCTGTGACTTACACTGAATGCACTGCCTTCGACAGCCTTCATTTCAAAAAAAACTTAATTGCTTCACACAGCAGACCAGTCCCAGCGGGGTGCATGCTACTGCTCAGTTTTCTCAGTGTATTTTCTTCAGTCGCCACTTTGCTTCACTTGAAAAAAAAAATGTGGGAGTGTATTTGTGAAGGCAGCTACTCTACCACTGTCTTACAGTCATTTCAAACATTAATTACAGCATTCTACAGTTAAGATAAGCCAATATATGTCCTTCAGTAAGTCACATGTTCTTGCAAACTCATATTTCTGAGCATTAATTTCCATGTATAGATAATAGGAAGTTTTTGAAATTCAAAGTTAGCTGACTGTCTCCTCATTTTAGCAATCGGTTCGGAAGAACACAAACATTTCTGTAGCTTTAAGCATTTAAGCTCTACTTATATTACACAATTGATTACTCTTCTTGATTATTGAACTGCCTTGCTACTCAATAGAATGGTTTAAGCAGAAGTGTTAAGCATCCTGTCAAGCAGCAGCCTGAAAGGGAGCACATGACAACCATTGTCCCAGTCAGATCTTGGTCAGTAGCAGCTCGAGCAATGATAGCAGAATACTTTGCAAAGCATTAACTTCTCGCTGAAGTCCGACTCAATCATGCAATGCAACTGTGAGCCTGCGCCATGCTTTCCTAGAGGGCCACTAAGATTTCTCCAGCCTGCTTCACTGTCCAGGTTGAGAGCTGAGACAGTCTCTCTTAACTGCCCCTACCTCAAGAGGGAAGGGACAGAAAAACCAGACCAACCCCCCAAAGAAGCTCCCTTCCCAAACGCTCAAAATCAACAAGCTGGCCCTAGGAAACAAAAGCAAATACAATCTCTCCTTTCAAACGCCCTTTCTAGGCGCTGCAGCAGGTCTTCCTCTTCAGATTGAAGGTTACAATATACCAACAGTGTCAAGCAGTTTGTGAGCGTCCATGTTTCCTCCTGGTTCAGAGAGACAAGGTGCTCCCCTACAACTAGCCATGCTTCCTACCATGAACATGGAAGATCACATGATGCCCTGACCTTTCAGCTGAGTGGGCAGCAGGGAGGGTACTCATTTGATATACGGAACAGGATTCAAGTCACTGTAACAGAGAGACAGGTACATGAGACTTTTTTCAAATTAAGTTATCTTGGTACATTTCCATCTACGTCATCTTCTGATGTCCCCTGAAACTTCTGGAAATAAGTAAATTGACTTATCTAAAGCATCCTGTCAGCCATTAAAGGATATCATCACATCTAATCATACCTCCGGCACAGATGGGAAAACAATTGCTATAGTTACCTCACTACCAAGTATCTATAAACAGAAATAAGGTCACATAAATAAAACTGAGGCAATACATAGCTAAAGGTCCGAGAGAATTTTCCAAGACTCAATTTACTGAAAAAGCTGCAGGATCCTCCTAAAGGGGACTGGGGAGCCAGAACAAAGAACCTCACAAATATCTTTTGAGGGAACAAGGTCTTTTTCATAAACTGCCTGAAGCAGCTAAAATAATGATCTTGCATAATGAGAAAGGAACAATTACAAACTTCTAGTCCCACAGGGAATCTATTGTCTCATTAAAGTGTTCTGGAATTTCTATGACATTTAGAAACAAACTGGACAGGTTTCCCACTTGCTGAAAGTGGGAATGGGCCTTCTATCTATTATAGCAACAGCACAAAAAAATACCTCTTCCCATAGTGATTTCAGTGCCAGCTTTCTATTTTATTAATAAGAGCTTTGTGAGAATGATTTGTTTGATTGAGGCTGTTAAAAAGATTTCAGAGGGGTCTGTGTTACTCTTTAAACTGCTCCAATAATCTGTCTGTTAATCCTTTGAAAAATTTAGGTCTACTTAGCAGAAAGGAAAAAATTCCAGGCATCTCCAGAGTGGTATTTTACCTATAAGACTTATCAAACAATGGGAAAAGTCTTTCCTTTCCAATTCTAGCTATACATGCTCTTCCCTTGCAACGAACAGGCTGCATGAGGCACTCTCCCCTGTGACACAGCGATCAGCATCCTGCCTTGCAGGCCAGCCAGCCCTGTCTCCCTCTTATGCACAGTTCCCTCTGGATCATACACAGACCTTTATCAGTTACTGGCCAACTTGGCTGTTATTCCTGCGTCTCTGGTCTTTCCCTTGGAAACTCTGTTTTATTTAACTGCTTAGCAGGTGATGGATCTGGTTTCTCCTTGTTCACCTGGCTGCCAACCAGGACCCATCCTTCCTTTAGCTTCTCCCAGAGAAGGTCCACAAGCAGCCACAGCACAGAACCAATCAACTGCTGCTCACTGAGCATCTGCGATAAGAGAAGCCAGCAGCTCCTTACAGGAACAGGTCAGCACAGAGGTTGGGCACTAGTGAAGAAGACTACGTGTGAGTCAGTAGAGCATTAACAGTGCTTCAGGAAGAGAAGGAAAAAATAATAGAGGCAAGCGAGATTAGAAAGAGGAACAGAGAAAAAAATAAAGAAAATTAGCAAGGACACTTTAGCTTAATAAGGAGAAGTTCATTTTCTCTAGATACATGCATAAGCACAGGAATTGCTTTTGGGTGTTTTGCTAATTCTGTGTGCTCAGACTGGGTCTGCATAGTGTCAGCTGGGCAAATGGCCTTAAACAGCTAATGCTGAGCCTTTGATTCCTGTGGAATATAGAGTCCCCCTGAATGCATGGCCTCATGTTGCTTTAACAGTCCTAAATTCCACCTGAAAAGATTTAATATTAAAGAACAATAAAGTCAGCCATAACGCTCTAGGTTGTACTGTGCTGAAGCATAATACGATTATAAATTCCACTCATTTACAGAAGTATTCCAAGAGGACCATTTACTGCAAGTAGGATTATTGTTAGCTAAAAATGCTTTCTACAGGGAACTCATGTATTTATTCCTTTGATTACAGCCTTCTTTTATGTGAGAGCCTGAAAGAATTAGGGATAAGGTGTTTGGGGCTGCCCACAAGACCTCAGTAGATATTAATTTAGCATAAATAAGGCGTAACAGGAAAACAGAAGAGGTACTCCAATTTGAAAGGCTGAGATCTGCTAATGTTCTCAGGTCGTAAAATCTATCTTACATAAAAGGACCGCATAATTTCAAACAAATTTGTAAACAAACTCTCCGTCAGTATCTTAACGTTTTGCACAAGCTTAAGTATTTTCCAAAGGAGAGATATTTTCCTAAAAGATAGCTCAAAGAACTGGTAGCACAAAATGCTGACTTTATTTCATTGGGTGGTCCAGTATTCCACCAAATTCATCGTACTGTTGCTCTGCCCAAGCAACACAATGCCTCCTTACTAATGATCCAAACTATGACATGCAGCAGCCATCGCCGACTCCAATTCAGCATTTATGTATTTTCCTCAGGGTTGACATGATAATGCTTTTCATTGCTTTCAATCCCTCTACAAAGCAGTAGGGAAAAAAGAAAAAAAGTCTTTCCCAGAGAGAGCATCACACACACTCACACGTGGTATTTTCAGGAGTATTCCAAGAGGGTCATTTACTGCAAGGAGGATTACGGTTACCTACAAATACCTTGTGCAGGGAGTTGATTTATTTATTCCTTTCTTTACAGCCTTCTTTTACAGAAAAGTACAAGGTGCCTAAGTTCAGGAATGCAAGGTTTGGGACAATACTTGCTCCTTGATCTCTGACAACCAATTAGGGGTTTTTGGGTAGAGTTTGTTGTCAGAACATTATTTCACCAAAAGCTCCTGCCAACCACTCACATCAGCATTTTGATGGGAAAAGAGATGCAGTTCCTTCTACTGCAATCCGCCACATAGGGAAGCCTGATATTGAATCAAACTGCAGGGTCTGGCTCATTTCAGAAATCAAGGTGCATCAGATTGCTTCAGTTACTTGGTGACAGGAAAGTAAGAAAAGTTCAACTTACCACCCCACCTCCTGCTGAGTGAACCAGCACAGACATGCCTTCTCTTAGGTTAGCAACTTCAAAGAGCATCATGTAGGCAGTTACAAAGTTCATGGGAAACGCAGCAGCTTCAGAAAAACTCATGTCATCTGGGATCTTGTAGACAAATTCTACTGGGGTACAGACTACTTCAGCCCACGCATTGTAGTTTACAAAAGCCATAACTCTGTCGCCAATCTACAAACAAGGAAGAAAACAACATTGAGGATATGGCTGCAATCGAGACTGTAGAGAGCAATGTATAAGACCTGCAACTCTCCTGTTCAAGCTGTGGGTCACTGTCTGTGAAGATAATGGTGCTCCACATCTTTGGCAAAATAGCAGCTAAGCTGCTTAGCTTTGGGCTTGTATTGTTTTTTAATTGTATTTAAGAAATTGAATTTAACAAAAATATCCAAAAAAGTTAAAGCCAGCTCTTCTTTTTTGCTATGCTACTTCTCTGATGGAGCAGTCTTCCATCATTACTAATACAGATCATCTTTTGCTAGCAGAGCTCCTAAACAACAAATGGGGTGGTAAACAATGAAAACAGCATTCTTACTAGTAACCAGGACATTTTCTTACAGAAAGAAAAAAAGATTATAATGATATTGATGAGACGCATGGAATAAACAAAATTACATGTAAGATAATTTTCACTTTGCTTTCTCGGTCTTCATACTAATTTAGATCTACTTTTCCTCTCTGGATTGAGAAAGGAAAGCCTTGTACTCTTGTAGATAGAGCACACGAAAGGGTTTGGAAATCACTCTTTTAGAAGATAACACCATCTGTATCCACTCTTTATTTTTATTATCTTAATAACTGATTCTACCAAAACATTTCCATTACTGTCATTTCCACAGCCATGTGTCAGAGCAGAATTTGATCCTGCAACTTCAAATAGTTCACCTTAAACATCAAAAATATACTTCTGGATTCTGAGGCACTACTAAGCCTACAAAGTGAATCTGACAGGATTTAAAGCAGCAGTGAAATATTCTCTTTGAATGCAACATTTCCCTACTCAATTTCTTTGGAAAATAGTAGTGAAAGGGTATTTCACTATGGAGAAATAAAGATTTTATGTAAATATTAGATACAGTTGGTCGCTCACAGGAATCTTTCAGAGGTCCAGGCACATCAAAGTCATACATTTGTATAATGGCCTTCATTGCAGCTTCAGGTTTTTAAAACGGAGATAGTGACTCCCCACAGAGGGACAAGAATAATAACAAGGCAACAGGAGCTCTGAGGCTCCTGCAGGGCTACAACTAGACCTGGAAAGCACCACTCGCTTAGAAGTAGAAATTGGTCTGCTGGGCCTACTGGGGAGAGCCACAGTGAGCAAACATTTGGCCGATATATACCAAAACCTTCACAGGCACGACTCGTACAAACTCTGAACAATGGCTTGTCACCAGCAGCCCTTTACCTTGCATCTTTTACCTTCTCTTAGACCTCTTTGCCTTTCTACACCAACAAAAATGGCATCCTCAAACATGAAAGGAGCTCTTCAATGGAGCCACAGTGTAAGTAATAAGGCAGGAATACCATCAAACTTCAGGACTTCGTGTTTTAACTAAAATTAACAGCAACTGTCCCTCTAAAATACCTTTGCTTATCTGCTTATCTTCCCTATCTTACATTCTACTAATACCCACTGATACTTCAGAAATACTACAGGTTGTTCTTGGACTGTTTCAACTATATTCCACAGCACCAGAGTAAAGCACAACATTTTTACCTTCAGGCAAAAGTTTATAGCACAAGTACATTTTGGTCTCCCAAGTACTTGTCATCACTTTGGCTTTGGGATATTGTGGGTTTGCTGAAAGCTAAGATGCTGCTGACAGTTCTGAAGGGCTTATCTCTCTTAGAATGAGGATGCTGAAACAGAACTGTCATTCCAGTTTACTGAAATGCCTCCTCCTTTTGAAAAACACATTCAAATTAACAATGCCTTACTGGTAACCACTCTGTGGTTCCCTTTTGCTGTTAGAGAAGCATCTAAAAATCTGAAGTCTGCTAGGATTAATTAGTGACAATGTTAATATGTCCTATATCCTTGCAAACAAACATAAATTATTACCAAAAAGAATGCAGAGAAGTTCCTCTTGGTGATTCCTTAGGGATTTATTAGTAATTATAAATACCATATTTTACCACAAACATTGTACAGAGCCTAATCATCATGTCGGATTGGGCCTTAGCTCCTGAGAATCACCTCCACAACTAGAGAGAGATCAGGCCTGATACATTTGAGCTCAGTAGAAATCAGCTTTTTCTTTTAATGGGAGAAGGAATAGACATTACACCATTATTCCATAAAAAAGGCTTTCTTTCAATGTAAAATACACTTATATTGCTGTCAAAACGGACCGCCATTCAATGCTGTCATTTGTCATACGATAACGCAATCACAGAAAAGACAATAAATGGCTGGCAATATCTGAGGTGTAGTATTTCAGGTAGTACAGGTCAGGAAGACATATTTTTCCAGAGCATGAAATGCCCACAGCATGACTGGAACAGGCAGAGACCTACAAAGGGAAAGGAGGTCAGAAGATGTAGGGTGCAACCTTTGCCATTCCTGCCACTGCTATGGGCAGCGGTAACGGCATATGTCAAAGAGACCACAAGCACCTTGTGTACTCCTGTTCTGTGCAAGACATCCATAAAGAAACTGATAGAACGTTCTTGCATCCTCCTCATGGTATGTTCTCCTGTTGATGGGTTCATACCTGTGCACAGTGGTTATTCTGAGCATCAGCCCTTCTAAAATCACTCAGACGCTACCATGGCTATGCAGATTATATGCAAAAAATAAAATACCATGGCTTGGTTCAATTTCAGGGACAACACCAGAGCACAAACACATTCTATAGTCAGAACAAAGATACAACTTTAAAAGAGCCCCAGTATATTCAGTCAGGTGCAATGTTATTCAAACAAGCACCATATGCCGTAGCCTCATGATGCCCTTTAAAAACAGCAAGAACTTTTAAACTGAGAATGCTGACCTAGAGCAGAGACCTTCTATACTCCTTTCACAGAAAGAGCATAGAATAGGGAGCATAATTATAAAACACAGATACTGGAATGGAACAACTGAAGCAGTGGAGTTTTTCAAACAGCAAAGTTATTGTTTGTCACGAAAAACACTAAAAGATTATGACTTGTTTCAGTGCAGAGATAGGGCAGCAGGGGGAAGGTAGAGAAATGTCCTAAGAGCAGCTCATCACTCAGACCCTACTAGAAACTAAATTGGCCATTATCCTCACTCAACTGAGAAATTTTACAGCTCTTTTAGAAGAGCAAAAATGTTACCTTTAAATAAAAATATTTTAGGTAATTGCCTTCTTAAGATCAAGATGCATTTTCTGAATTCTTATTGTAATTACTGATGACGTGACTGACTTGGCAAATAGCTAAGATAGGATTGACGTGCATTAACTCAGTTTTTATTTCAAAATTTTTCTATCTACTTAGGAAATAAAGTGCAAGATTGGAGGGAATATAGATGTTTAACATCAGTAATGGAATAGGAGGTAGTACAGAATGCTGTTTATAGGTAATAAGAGATACATGAAGAGTACATACTGCCAACCAGTTACGAAAGCTTTATTATATACATTAACTATTTGTCATTTATCACTATTCTGTTGGGTGAAATAGATTCTTTTCCTGAGTGATCAGAAAAAATTGTATGCCCAATTTTATCTGCGTCTCATGAACATGCATGGTTGTAAGAAGCAATGCTTATTGTAGATGAGGGTCTCATTACCTCAAGACCAAAAGTCGGAACTAGAATCAGCAGCGCATGGGCTTTATGGAACAGAACAAAGGTGATGGCAAACATGTCCAAAAAAATTAAACCAAACAAGTTAACTCAATTTCTTAAAGCACAGTAGTGATGCTTTCTAGTGCCTCTTTAGTCATCAGGATATGTACACCGCACAAGTGACTTTTGAGGAAGGATTTGAAGAAGATGACAGTGGTAGCTCCAGAAACTAATTCAAGAGGTCATTCGCATGCTTGGGAAGCAGCAAGGAAAAATTGCCCTTTCAAATCTCAACAGGGTGGTGAAGGCTGCTGTTGCTGGCAGACCAGAAGGGATTAGGGACAACATACTCAGTGAACTGGTGATTATTTAGTCTTGCTCTGAAAATAAAGAAAATATTACCTCAAATCCTTTCACACTATCTCCAAGAGCTTCTACAATTCCAGAGCATTCAAACCCAGGAACAAGTGGTGTCTTAGGAGGGTTGTCGATATTCCCCTGTCGCACCATCAAATCAATAAAGTTCAAACCACTGTAAAACACAAGAAAAAAAATAAAAGCAAGACTATTAGCATAGATCAAAGCAGATCACCTGAGTGATGGGAAAGCCAGAAAACTTCAGGACAGCATTAAAAAGCAAGGCTCCGCAGCATGAGAGGGACCCAGCAGACATTCACATTCTTCATGCGTGGAACAGGCTGACTTTACACTGTGCTGTACAAGCCCGAGGCAGAGTACGCACACAGGGCAACCACATCTGTCACGAGCCCCAAGGCTTACAAGATTGTTTAAGAGTCACATGTAGAAATTCACAACAGGCATTTAAAAATTCAATACAGTGAAACATTATGATTTCTATGAATGCATTACTGGCTGGCAAGCCAACGCAGTTCAGTTTAAGAAGAAAACCCCAAACCTCGATGTTTTGGGCCAAGAGCAACCTGATGTAACTGTCCTAACCTCTCATGTGACTCCAGGAATGAATCTTGTGTTCGTCCCAGGCAGGAGTCCAAACTTTGACACAAACTTATTAAGTGTTAGATAGGCTGTTGTTTTAAAACTATTCCTCCTGGATCACTTTTGTACAGTTTTGCAAACGTTATTTAGGTCTTAGGAGCCCTCAGGGTCACTGCTTGGAAAAAATACAGGTCTTCCCCTGTAGTCTCAGTTTTGCAAAAAATTTTGAAGCATCTTTGCTTTGTTTTTTATATGATATCCAATTTTATTAAGTAAAATTTTGTGGCTTTCTACGCAGCTACAAAAAAAACAACCACAAAAGATACTGTCTACTATGTGTATATACCAATTACTGGCACAAATGCCACACATAGTTAAAGCTTCTCAAACTCCTAACTAGCTAAAACATGCTTCAGCATTCATCCATTGTTCCAAAACACAGCCCTGTATTTATTGTTAGCTGAAATTGCTGCATACTAACTCCCCCGACTCTATGAAGCTATGCACATAGCCAGTCCTACTTATGCATATGATACCAGCAACTGCTTGGATACAAAAAATTACTGGTATGAGCAAGTATTTATAAGATGGAGCTTTAGTCAGATACTAATCAAGACACAAACAGATTGAACAGACCCAACAAACAAAAAGACAGAGTAGACACACAGCATAAGCACAAAGACAAGACAGCATTCATGAGATGTAGGTCACCAGGCAGCGGGGGGAAGGAAATTCCACCAAATGTAAATATTTGTAATTGTGGTGCAGGGTTTAAGAGCAACCTGAACCCAGAACTTTTAGCTCTGTAAAAGCAAAATTAGAGATTATTTTTGAAAAGCATGACTTTGACAATCTAGCTTGACAAACTCCGGAAAAAAACTTGAATATAAAAAACCCCAA